ACTTGCTGCATTTTGAGATTTCTACTATCCCTCCCCTTGTGACTGGAGAGTGTTGGGTGAAACTTCAGCCCCGAATTGCAAGCTACTGCTCTCAGAGTCCAGCTCCCCTCCTTCTCCTCTCCCCATCCTGGTGGTCTCCTTAATTGCAAGATGCAATTAATAATTGCACCACTTTGAGGACAGACGGTCTGGCTTTAGAGAGGATTTTTCAAAAGTTCTGGATTGGTCCATACTGCTGCAGATCGATTTGGCTCCACACAACACATTCTGTAATGGTCTGTTGCTGCATTGACCTTAATCTGGTACAAACAGGCACAAATTGGCCCGGTTTGTTTCATGATTCAGACAAGTAAGTTGCACAGCCCTCGTTTCTGCACCAAAAAAGGATCTCTTCTCCAACTGTATCCTCCTTGTTATAATAGCAACCATGATTAGTGGTGTTGATGCAAAGGGATTAGATTTGCAGCAGCCAGCAATAACACAGGCCAGGAAGCCCCTGGTGCAAGCTATATCCACAGATGGTCCCTGCAAGAGGAGAATTTTGATTGCATGAAGCTAGTTGATTCCAACCCACATTCAGGCTTCACGCTGATCCCTTTGGGTTATGTGGATCAATGCGCTTTTAGTCTGAGCATCTTAATAAACTCAGATTTCTGATCAATTTTGTGCCAAAACTCAGCATGTGGAGAAATCAACACATGTCTTGAGGGGATCAAAATCCAGCTCAAACCACCCCAGCTGTCCCATTACCTGAGGGTGTTCTTGAAAGCTGCCTTTTAGGGCATCATTAGCAAATCTCTGTGATATCTGAGGGTGCAGGAGAGTTTGGGATCTTGGATTTTGAAATTCATGCACCCCTGTGTATGGTTGATGTCTACAACCTGATGGTGAAGCTGGATTGTACTGAGGACTCCTTTCTGTGGCACAGGAACAGTTTCAAAGCAAGCTTAAGACTTCAATCCTCTACTCACTCACCTGTGAGGAAGCTCCACTGAACTCAGCAAACTTTACTTTTGAGTAGGTAACTAGACAGACAGATACGGTAGATAGATGATTGAATTGCAAATCACATCACTTCCATGTGAAAGGTATGCCTTGATGTCTTTTGTCCAGTCTGCAATGTGGAACATGCTTAAGAGAGAGTGGGTCTATTCTGAGGGACTAAAGTTGGATTCAACCCAATAAACTCACATTGAACCTGGAGAGACAGACTTCTGGGCAAACTGTCAATTGCACTGTCAGTGTCTGATGGTTTGCAGGGCAACATGCCAGGGGTAGGTGGGAGGAAATCCCTTCCCTATAGAGCCAGGGAGGCTAACCTGTGGCCCCTCCAGCTCCCATGATCCCTGGGGCTGATGGGAGCTGTAGTCCATAGTATCCGCATTCCTGCTGCAGAGCTCAACAACAGAGGGGAGGGAGGGAGGATAGAGAAGGGAATGCAAGAGCAGCAGGGGTTGAACACAGAAAAGACTTACGCTTCCTATGTGGTGCCCAACCCATGAATAACAGTGACGGAGCTGGTCTTGGGCTTAGTGTTGTGCCTAACTTTCCCCCAGCTGGACTCACGTGACGGGGAGAAATCTCCGTTCATATCTCAAGTTCATATCTATCAAATTTGCTTGTTCCGAAACAATATGAGAAGAGCAACACAGTCATCCTTTGATATTCATCATGGACCCTCTGGGTCTTTCTTGGGACTGACAGTCACATTCAATCCAGAGCAAAGTTCTAGGGTCCACATGCAAGTGGTGGGAAGGTCCAGAGGCAAAAGCAGGCAGAGCAACAAATGTAACCTTTATCTTTGTACAGTGGCTGCATACCTCCTCTCTATCCTCCATCCATTCAGGCAAGCAAGAGGCATGGCCAGAGATCAAGGACACAGTCCCACCAGGCAAATATCCGAAAGGAGGGTGCTAAGTGGGCTTCTGAGGGGGTGCGGCCTGGGGATAGGGACCTGCCTGGGGAGAATCCCAAGGTTTAGAGAGGGCTGCATTTGCCCCCCAGGTCTGAGGGTCCTCCCCTCTTCTGTAAGTAGTTGTCTTGGTTCCATAAGATGTATTTATTAGTGGTCTTCAGTTGATGTTACATATGCATCCTCCGTTCTCCCTGGGGTTTTTTCTTTTCTTTAGGAGGGCAGTTTTCTTGTATTTTAATTCATTTGCACCCCATCCTGAGATCATAAGAGGAAGGGTGGGATCAAAGTATACTAAATAAATCCAGTAACAAATAAACCTTTAAGGTGCCATGAGATCCTTGTTTTGGCCACCACTTGGGCACCCCTCTGCAAATCCTACAAATGTCTACTGAGAAGTAAGCCACATTGAGTTCAGTCAGGCTTACTGGGCAATATCCAATGTTTGTCACACTCTAGAGTAGAGCCACAGAAATCATAGAACTTAAATAACATAGGCTCATTTTTATCTATTTTCCCTTTTTTAAAGACTCATTTTTTTATATTTTTACCTTTTGAGGGGGCTTGTTTTATTTGTTTATCTTCCTGAGGCACATTTTTATTTATTTATCTTTGGGGCCGTTGACCTGGATTCTGCTCCATATGTGTTGCATATTAAGACCTGGTTACTCCACTGCAGTACAAAAAAAGTTATCCTGAATTGTTTGTTTGGCCTTATTTCAATCTATTGGTAACATTTTGCAACAAATCGTATTTTCTTTACAGCGCTCTGTGTTTTGATAATTCTGTGTACTGAGAGCTGCTGTTGGCACCGTTTATTTTGGAAAAGCGGGCATGTAAATAAACTAAGCTAAGGCTGAAGTTATAGGAACACTTACCAGGGAGAGAATTCTCCTCCGGAACAGACAGGCACAGGACTGCAATCAAACCTAACAATACCAAAAGCTTTCCACTTTATTTATATAGCACCATCTGCATGGATGTCTATAAAGTTGCTTGCCACAAACGCAAACTATTTTTAATACCATTAGTAATCTCGGCATTTTATTTACAACACTGATGAATTAATAATCAATATTGATGCAGAATTTTTTCATAGCTTCACACGGCACCTTCTTATGGAAGAGCTGAGGAATCTGCAGCCCTCCAGAGGTTAGACTCTGGCTCCCATCATCCCTGACCATTAGACTTAGCTGATTGGGGCTGATGGGAGTCAGAGTCCCAATAATGACATCAGGAGGGATGCAGCTTGCCCAGCAATGTGCTTGGTTGCGTCACTGCCCTCAGAAGCTCAGAGTGGCCATGTTACCCCTAGGAATACAGGGCCTTCTCTGTGGCAGCCCCTAAGCTGAGGTGTGCCTTTCCACAGAGGTGTTCCTGGCTTTTGAGGAAAGCTGAAGACACACCTCTTTAGACTGGCCTTTGACACCTGAAATGTATACTTGTAGGGGGCACTTTAGTTCTGTGATTCTAAGTTGTTTTAAACAACTGTTTAAACAACAACTTGTTTTAAACAAGTTTTTCATGTTGAGCTGGGACCTTAGGATGGTGGGTGATAAACAACACAATTAGTAATAACAGATATAAAGAGATTAAATATTTTTAATTGACCCCAGAGTCAGTATTACCAAACAATAATAATTTTAAAAATCCACAAGACTGCTTCCATAAGGTGGGGCTTCGCTCACACTTGATTTGGAAGCTGCAGTTAAGTGCAGAATGCTGCCGCACAATTGCTGACAGCAGGGAGCTATTGTCAGCACGCAACACCTGTGCTCAGAGATCTGCTCTGGATGCCGATTTGCTACTGGGCCAGGTTCAAGGTGTCACGATTACCTTATAAAGCCCTTAACAACCTGGGGTCAGTTTACCCACAAGATTGTCGTATCCCACATGTTCCTGTTCATCTCCTTTGATCAGTGGAATGGGCCCACCATGGGTGCCACATTCTGCATTTGTAAGAATTTGTTCTTTTCATGTGGCAGCACCTTACCCTTTGGAACTCCCTGCCTACTGAAATCAAACAGGTGCCTTCGCTGTCCTCTTTTGGGCACCAGATAAAAACTTGCCGATCAGAAGGTCAGCGGTTCGAATCCCCGTGACGGGGTGAGCTCCCGTTGCTCGGTCCCTACTCCTGCCAACCTAGCAGTTCGAAAGCATGTCAAAGTGCAAGTAGATAAATAGGTAGGGAAGGTAAACGGCATTTCCGTGCGCTGCTCTGGTTCACCAGAAGCGGCTTAGTCATGCTGGCCACATGACCCGGAAGTTGTGCACCGGCTCCCTCGGCCAGTAAAGCAAGATGAGCGCCGCAACCCCAGAGTCGGTCACGACTGGACCAATTGGTCAGAGGTCCCTTTACCTTTACTAAAAACATGCCTGTTCAGACAGGCCTACCCAGATACTTAGAAAGCAGCAGTAATTTTGATCTGTTTTAATATTTCAACTTTCGTATGTTTTCAAGTAGGGTCGTAAATTGACTTTACTGTTTTATCCTTTGTAAACTGCTTTTGATATTGTTCTTTTTAAAAAAAACAATCAAGAGGTGTATAAATTGTACGAAACAAATAAGTAAAAAAAAAAAAAAAAGCAACAGATGTTTGGGGGACACCATGGGTGTTTACCCAGGGGCTGGGCAGCTGCCCCCTCCTAAATCAAGTAAGTAAATAAAAAAGACTCAACTAAAAGCAAAAAGATTGTGACAGATTTTTTTTCTGAGGTGTCAAAAGAAACGTAAATTTAAAACAACTGTGGTTGAGACATTTCATTCCGAATCTGCTAGACAGAGCGAGACAGAGGGTGGTGGCAGGTGGGTGTCCTGCCCCCCCCCAACATAAATCCTGGCTACGCCCATGGGGGGCCATCTGCCAGGGCTGCTTCAGCCGTGATTCCTGCATGGCTGGGGGTTGGACGAATTGACCCTTAGGGAACCCGTGCAAACTTCTTCCAGCCTAACGCATGATAATAAAATAAAATAAAAAATAAAATAAAATAAAATTAATGATGCTGTGCAAAAGCCCATAAGGCAGCTTGCATCATCATCACCTAAAGCCAAGGGGAGGGCAGTGCCCAGCGGAGCCCCCTCTCTCCTATGGGGACCCTCGGCGCGTGTGCGAGAGGGGCCGGACCCGCTTCCCTCCCTCCCGCTCGGCTCAGCCTCCTCCTCCGACGGTTGCATCGCGGGCGGAGGCAGGGAGGCGCCGCCGGGCCTCCTGCCAGCGCCCTTCGCGCCTCTCCGGCGCTCCTCGCCGTTCCCCCCTCCAGCTCGGCGGCCAGATGGTAGGCTCCATTTAAAGCGCCCTCCCCGCCTTTCTCGGCGCTGCTTTCCCTGGGCGAGCGGCTGCCGCTGGCCGCGCCGCGTTGCAGGCGAGGAAGGGGGATCCAACAGGTCGCTGCCCGGGCGGAGGTGCCCCGGTCCCCGGGAAAAGGCCCGCTCTCCAGCCAGCCGGCCAGCCAGCCCGCCCGGGGTGCGCGATGCGGCGTCTCTCGCGGCTCCTGAGCCTCCTGCCTTGTCCGTCCCGCAGGCCAAAATCCTGAGCATGATGGAGGGCAACCAGCAGCTGGCCCTGCGCATCGACGGAGCCCTCCAGGCGGCCGGCCAGGAGGTGAGCGCCTTGCGAGCCGAGCTGACAGCCACCAGCCGAAGACTGGCCGAGCTCAGCGCCTGCTCCGGCGCCGGAGGAGGAGGAGGAGGAGGAGGCGGAGGAGGAGGCAGCGGCAGCAGCAGCAACAGCAGCCCCAACGCCACGGAGATGGCCGCGGCCGGCGGCGCCATGGAGAACAGCCAGCCCAGCCTGCAAGGTAAGCGGGGCACTGCGCCCAGGCGAGGATCGGGGCCGTTTTGAGGAAGGGGTGGGGGGATGCTCTCTTCCCAATAAGCTCCTTTTTTGAGGGGTCTCTTTTTTGGAGGTGGGAGACTAATGTGTCTTGAGCATGTGTCTTAAGGATGGGAGGGGAGGGGGTCGCTGATCACCTCCGAACATCCTCTCTCCCTCTCCCACCAGCCACCCCTCTTTTTGCTCGGCTGACACTCAGCCGGGTCTTATGCAGGCTGACTCGGGAGTAAAGTGTTGTTCGTGGCAGTCCTGGTGGCAATCGCGCGTTGGGGTTGCAGGCGCCCCCCTTTGTGCAGTGGGGTTTATTTCTCAACTCCACCCCCCCACCCCAAACATACCCTGCAGAGAATTGCAGCCTAGCAGAACGATCTTCTGCTTTGCTTACTCCAGAGCAAAGCCCGGTTGCCGTCAGCGGCGAGTTAAGCGTGCGAAGGGATGCAGCCCTCTCTGCACGCCCCCCCCCCTCGCTTTGCAATTGCATACATGTGCTTGCACGGAAGTCAGTATCCCCCCCCCCCCAATGCTCAGCGAGACTTACTACCCGATAAGTCTGCGGGGGGTTGCAAACTAGGTTTGTGTTTGTGCAAACTTTGGATTCCACAAGGTCTTTTCCAACACCGCCCCCCCCCCGCCCTAATTCCTGTACATTATTTCCTGGAAGAATGCCTCCATTCTTGGCTTTCCCCTGGTTTCTTACAATATCTTTAAACTTGCTTTAATTCCACTCCTGTTTGGAGTTTCCCCCACCACTGTCCTTTTCTAGGGAGGCTGCAATTCATTGTTTGCATCTCTAATGTATTGTGGTAAGTTGCTGTTCACCCCCCTTCCTCCTCTTCCATCCTCACCTTGGATTTCATCCAGCTAAACAATCTTTTTGCAAGAGAAACGCGACCCTGTGCTTTGCAGGGCGAATTGTGGTGCAGGGTTGTTTATGAAGCGGACTGCTCTCGCGAACCACCTTCCCTTTCCTCAGACTTCTGCAATAATGTTAAGAGAGGTGGTTTGCGTTTGTACGAAGGAGGTGCTGTGTAGAGTGTCTGGATTGAAACAGGACAGAATTATTTGACACTAGGCTGTTCTCTTTGCCTGCCTGCCTGCCTGCCTGCCTGTCTGTCTCTTGTTGTATTCAATGGGAAAGATGGATCAATGGGCAGCCTTCAAAACTGGCACCTTGGAGAATATGGCCTTTGTCCAGCAGCTTTTCCTCCTGTGCTTATGCACGATGATGTCAGTGCTTTAAGAGGTGTGACAGCAGCGTTTCGGTGGCGTTCAGAGGCACGTTCTCCTGCTTTGTTTGCTCCTTGGTCATCCGTAAAGGCAAATGTGAGGTGCTTTTGAAAGCCGCTCCAAACCTTGCAGTGGACCTGCTTAGACACAGGGAGTCCTGCAAATACCGTGTTGGAGTGATGATGTCATGATAGCATTTCTGGTGTGTGTGGCTCTGGTTAAGAGCAGAATCTTCCTTTGCTTTCCCCCACCCCCACCCCCAAATTAAATTGCTGGCAGAGAGTAATTAGTTTGAAATGCAGTTATCGAAATGGTAGGAATTTTAAGAATGCTTCCTTCTCTCCCCCACCCCCCCTTCTCCATTTCAAATCGGCAGTTCGTGTTTTCTGTTTGCTTTCCTCTGGTGTCCAGATTTGCTCCTCTGTTCATGTTCCAGTCAATATCTTGAATCTGATTCAGAAAGTGTGTTGTTGTCATTCCGATTTATTGGTTGTGAGAGGAGGGACAGGGAGAGTTAAGCAAGCCGGGCGACCTGGCATTGCGATGAAAGCAGCTTGATATGTGATGGTGTAAAAAAAAAGAAAAAGTGCAAGAGAGAATAGATGTGCAAAAGGCAAACGGACAGTTAGGTATGTGTGTTATAATGAGGAAATGGCTGGGAAAGTGCCTCTGGCGGGTCTGACTTCCCTGGTATAAAACAGCCGCTCCGCATTTCTGCATTCTCCCCCCTTGCTTGTGGAAATGAAATAAACTTAAGGAGACTTTGAAGCAGTGTGTCTTGTAAATTGCACAGGAATAGCTGTGCGATGTAACAAGGGGCTCTTCAGACTGTTCAATGAGTGATTTATCCTCTTAATTTTTACATCAGAGTTAGGAAATGGGAGCTGAACAGCTCCTGATCATCCCTTTAGTATCTCTCTCACTTATTTTGTTGGATGGGAGGGAATCTCCCCCACCTCCCCATTATGCAATAGCGATGGAAGTCGTGGCTGGTTGTGACTCCCAAATCCGTTTCATTAATGCGATATGTCTAACCTGCTTTCCTGATGTTGAGGTATGTTCAGCTCTCCGCTATGCCAGCTGCAGTCCGTACCCCTCACATTCCCACATTAAAACAGCTAGAATGTTTAAAAGTGTGTGGGTGCCCTCTGTGCCGCAGACAGGCTGGCTTCACTGATTATGAATTTCAACTTGCAAGGTGATCCTGGGTAGGTTCAGTCAGAATTCTGCAGTAGGACTGTATCTTAGTGGTAGATAGGCTTGGAGGGGTGGGGAAGAGAATGTGGATTTAGTTTGCATTTCAAGGCAAGCCAACTAATCTTCACTTTCTGAAACAATGTGTGGTTTGAAACAGAGCTATCACCCGAAATTTGCACTTTGCTGAATTTTGCAATTGAGATCTCCAGCCAAGTATTGTGCACAAAATGTGCTTAAAAATGCATATATAAGTAAGAATGAATTCTATTAGGAGAAATTGCTCTGCAAAAAAATGGTATATTGGGGGGAAATTGCATGTGCTCTGAAACATTGGTGGCTTTTCATTTTCTTGTTGTTAAAATCACAAACAGATGTGGAAGAATGGAGAACGGAACTCAAGATTGAGAGGATGCAAAATTGAAATTGGCCTATTTGCCCACCACACTGGCTGAACATCTGCTCTTTGAGCAGGAGGTTCCAGGTCCCAACTTCTCCAGCTTCTTCAGGAAGGGCTAGAAATGTCCCCAGTCCAAAACGCTTCAGTTCTGCTCCCTAGACAGTACTGAGATAGATGGACCAGATGTCTGCCTTGGTATAAGGCAGCATGCTGCCTTCCTAAGAAGTAACATCCACTGAATTTGGTGAGATGGACTCCCAAATGAGTGTGCAAGGCATGGCAGCCTTGGGTGGCAACCTGCCAGTGGTGTAGCCTGAGGTGCAGAGGTTGAACCAACATTTGCAAAAATGTACAATTCTGTTAAACTCACACACAGTCACTCATGCATCCAGACCTGGCCTGTATCTAAACACAGCCAGTGTGGTACCATCCCAATGATGTTGGACTACTGACCACTGGCCAACTCATTGGTGCTAATGAGAGTTGGGATCTAACCGCATCTTTAAGGTATCATACTGGCTACCCCTGATCTAGACTAATGAAGCCTGATTGCTGTGAGTAGGGTTGAGAGTGTGAGCCTGGGTCTGTATGTGTTGTGTGAGAAAGGATATACGTGCACTGCCTGACCTCTGTGGAAATTGCAAATTCCTCCTCTGCTTTGCATCCACCTTGCATACAGAAGGGAACGGGGACTCTAGGTGCAGGGATCTCTCCTTCCCATAGCCAAGGTGCACTCGGACATGAAAGCTAAGCTCATTTGGGATGGTGTTTGCCAAAAGAAAACCAAGCTGGGAAACATGGTGGCTCAGGCAGCACACCTGGACCAGCCAAAGGAAGCCCTCCAAAGTATATGATAAATGTATATATCTGCCAAGCAGGATATTCCCAGTGGGCACCACTGAATTATGAAGAAGTCCATGTTTATTAACATTGTGGGCTGATAGGCTGGGACTTGAAAACCCTCACTCTTTTTGGCATGGCAACCCATAAGTCCAAATTTACTTGCTATGGTGACCAAACAATTTATTGTTGCATGAATTTTGAATCTGAGACCTTCACTGCTTCCAGCTGCGAGACAGCAGTTCCCAAGTGTTAATGTAAGACTTCAGCCTTCCTGATGTTCAATGACAAGTGTCAACACAGCATTGCACCATGCCAACAAGACAAAAGTTGTAAAAGGCATTCCTCATGCAAATGATGTATTGCAAGGAACAGTGCTTTGGGTTTTCTGATAAAACCTGTGACCCATTTGCACAGGTTTTGCGAGCCACATGTGGGGGAATGCTGCAATGGACCACTTGGACTGATGGTCTAGGTCAGGCATAAGCAAACTCTGGCCCTCCAGGTGTTTTGAGACTACAATTCCCATCATCCCTGACCACTAGTCCTGTTAGCTAGGGATGATGGGAATTGTAGTTCCAAAACATCTGGAGGGCCGGCGTTTGCCTATGCCTAGTCTAGGTAAAATTTGCACAAGAACCCCATACAACCAACTACCCAGAAGCTCCCTCTTGAGTTCAATGAGATTTACTCCCAGGTAAGTATAGGATTGCAGCATGTCTGTGTAGGGAATGAGTGAGATGATTGACTTCCTGTTGGCTTCTGCTGATTGTGCTTTGTGAACATCTGAATGGCTTGAATTTAATTTACAACTTGCAGAGCTAGATCCTGGTGTGTGATTACAGTGCATTTTTGGTTTAGAGTTTTGTTGTTGATTGCATTATTTGCCTTTGCAAAACGTGTATCTTACATAGGAAGTGATTCAGCATCTTCTGGGGCCAGTCCTACCATTAGATAAGACTGGGCAACCTGCTTCAACTGGCAGATTTGTGCTACTCTTAGAAGTGTTTCTTAAAAGGCATAAAATTTATTATTATTATTCCCGCCCATGAACTGTTTATTATGTCAACATACAGGTAATACAAAATAGTTCATAATATATAGCTCGCACAATCAAGCCTATGTTTGTGTGAAATAGATTTTCAGTCCCTTCTATCAAAACCTTTTGAAATATCTATCTGCTGTACAAAAACCTGAGCCCTGTCCATTAAGCAAGGGAGATACAGTGGTACCTCAGGTTACATACGCTTCAGGTTACAGACTCCGCTAACCCAGAAATAGTGCTTCAGGTTAAGAACGCTGCTTCAGGATGAGAACAGAAAGCGTGTTCTGGCGGCGCGGCAGCAGC